TGCATCTGGTTGCGAGGAAACACCTATGGGTGAATTTTTGTACGATTAATCTTTGATTGTTGGCATGCTGAACACTTTCTAACCCACTTGTGTACATTCTTCTGTAAACTCGGTCATATATATCTGGCATTGATTAGTTTAGTTGAAGCTTTTGCGCCAAGATGAGACAAAGAATGAAAGTTATTATATATCAACATTCGCATACTCTTGGGGACGAAAGTTTGCGGCATTGCATTGGTTGTGTCATAGTAAATTAGACTTCCATCTATAGTTGATGGTAACTGTTTTAAATTAAGCCTTGAATTGTTTGTTTTAAATAGCTCTTGTAATTCTAGATCCTGCTCTTGTTCGTGTCTCAACGTCTCGAATTTTACTGTAGACTGCTGTAGCACGTTCATTTCTAGTCTAGATAAAGCATCTGCCGCCTGATTATTCTGACCTTTGACGTGTCAGATATCGCTTGTGAACTGTGATATATAGTCAAGGTGTCGAATTTCTGGAGGTGTGTATTTATCGGCTCTCGCTTTTAATGCATTCGTTAGTGGTTTGCGACTCGTAAAGACTATAGAGTCCCTGCTTTCTGGTATGTGTCGGAAGTGTTTAATGGTCAGGTAGATTGCAAGGAGTTCTCGCTCGAAGGTAGAATACCTTGTCTCTGCTGGAGCGAGTCTTTACAAGAGGAACGCAATTGGTTTCCAAGCGTTTTTAACCAGTTGGTTAAGAGCACCGTCTACTGCTCTATCTGAAGCATCCACCATCAAAACAAGTGGGGAAAGGGTATTCGGATACATCAACGTAGTTGCTTGAACAAGTTTATCTTTAAGCTGTTTAATAGCTTCGACGGTGTCAGAAGACAGTTTGAGTTCTTTTGGTTTTCCTTTAAGTGCATCTGTCAAAGTTCGCATTAATTGTGCACAACCGAGTATTAATCTACGATAGAAGTTAATTAGACCTAGAAAAGTTCTCAGTTGTGTTGGAGAACTAGGTATGGGGTATTGTTTGATCGTGTCCACTCCTTCTGTGATCGGGCTTTTTGTTTGACCGAGAAATTTTAGAGTTCGAACACCAGAAACACACTCACGTTCATGTATGTTCATTCCATGTTCATCCAGTCTTTTTAACACTGCCCGTACATGCTGTTCGTGTGATTGTAAATCGGGGCTGGCAATTAACTTATCGTCTATAACCCCTTGTGCGAATCGCATATCTCGAAGCAGGATATCCATGAATCTTTGAAATGTTTGTGCCGCATTTTCCAGGTCGAACAGCATGCGTACAAACTCGCACCAGCCCGAAGGTGTAGTAATAGCTGTCTTGGGAATATCTTCATCAGCCACCGGGATATTGTGATATGCCCAGACTAAGTCAATCATAGTAAATATGTTCACACCCTGTAAACCGTTTGTGAAATCTAGGATATGTTGTATTGGGTACCTATCTGGTACGGTTTGACGGTTGAGGGCTCTGTAACCCCCGCACGGTGGCCAATTGCCTTCATTCTTCTTTGGGATTATATGCAAAGAGGATGCCTATTGACTGTCAGAGGGACGGATAATACCCAGTTGTAGCATCTAGCCAAATCCGGCCCTGGCGATTTTGAGCTTATGTGGTGGTAGTCTCCTGGGTTTCGCAAACACAGGTGCACCCTCGGTTTTGATAGTATGACTTACTTTTAGTTTGTATTTGGAAGGCTGTGGGTTTAGTCTAGTTAAGTTTGGGAATTCCACAAGTATATCTTGGAATTTACAGTTGTTACTGGAGGAGTTTGGATCAAGTTAAGATATGTGATGAGACTTTCTTTGCCTTTTGTGTAATTCGAAGTTTCAGTTTTAAGCATCGTTTCTTATTGTCAACTGAAAATACGTATCTCTCTTGAAAGTCCATCCCCAGTATTGACAGGTCTAAATCGGCTACAGTGAAGACCCAAGGGAAATGCCTCCTGAACCCCGAAATGTCGCGATTTTAGTTTTATTGGCAGCTTGAAGTGTAATTGGGGATGCTTCTCGATTCAGCTGAGTTTTATTTTGAGGGATGGTACTAAGAGTAGCACCAGTATCTACCAAGAAGTTCAAGCCAGAGTTTCTGTCTCTAACATTAAAAAACGACTGTTTAGGCGCCCCTCCTCAGTCGTCGCGACCTGTGGATGGGTTACTCGTCTTCCGTTGTCTTGGAATTTTGCTTAGGTCATGCGCATGGTTGCATGCACTTGGTTGAGTTGACACCAAACTTGCAGTGAAACCAACAGAACTGCCCAGATTGTCTGGACATTTGTGACCTGTTTTGTGACTTGAGACTTAGTCGTTGTGTTGACCTGCTCCTGTTTTTCTATGACCTATTTGCATTCTGGCGGTAGCCTCAGTGAGACTTTTGACACTCGCAACGAGTCCTATGACTAAGTTTTCTGCTGGTTCTTCTTTTTGTGTGTGATTTATCGTGCGTGATCCAGATGGAGGACCTCTTTCCACTATTCTATCGGCTATACGCGCTAAATGAGATAATGAGGTTTCAGGATCTTGTGCATCCAAACAGTGGTGGACATAGCATGGGAGAGCTTGTATCCATTCTTGTCTTAAGACTACTTAACTAACTGTGTTATCACCCACTAATACTTGAAGGTGAATTAAAAACTGTGACGGCGACCGATCACCTAGTGTTTCTCCTTGGTTAAGCCTTTGGATTCTTTAACTCTCTGATAATGATAAACGGTTCATCATCTCTGTCTTAAGATGTTGTATGGTTGTGGTGATGGTGGACTTAAAATCAAGTCACGGACTTCTTTGTTGACTGAAGGAGGAAGGATAGAACACAATTCTCTATAGCGAATCCCGTCAGATTTGATATTGTGTCTCGCGAAATAATGCTCTGGTTGAGCAAACCGATACTCAGAATCACTGCGATCAAATTCTGGAAGTCGGGATTTCGTAATCATAACAGTATCTATCTCCACTGGTGACGAATCCTCCAGGTTTTGGGTTTGTATTGAGGGTGACATGAGGTATCTGACCAAAATAGTAATAAAGTTAGCACGAAAAACGGTCACCGCAACAGCAGATTGCACAATACAGCCAGAGTCTCCAATCAAACGAGATGGGATACATTCAGACTGTAATAGGCGCACATATTCGTGTATAAATTAAGGGGACAAGAGAAGACGTAACATCCTAGCATTATTGTGGGACAGTAGAACCGCGTCAATAATGGGGGACGATTTTAGTATATCCAATGCATTCTAAACTTAATTTAACAATGTATTTGCTGTAGACACACCCTTCTCCTCAGTTCATGCAACCCCCTACACACACTGTGACCATTAAAGAACTCTATGTCTTCGGTCTGCTAAATAAGCTTGATATAAACAATTTACGGGGCCCAATGGAATGCATCCTATATTATTAAAGGAACTAGCGAATTTTGTCACGAGTCCCTTGGGAATATGTTTGAATCGATCTGCAAAATAGGGGTGATTACCAAAATACTGAAAGAACGCCACTGTAAGTCCTATCTTCAAAACAAGTACGAAACGCAAACCCGGAAACGATCGTCATGAAAACCTTACTAGCGTGTTTGTTAAAATGTTCATAAAGATTATTTGGAAGTTGTTTAAGTATCTCGACAAAAACCGAATGTTTTTCGCAAATCAACATGCCTTTAGAACAGATTATTCATGCCTAGTAACCGAGAAAGTTGGTGGGTTCGTAAAGATCAAAAGTAAAATTTGGCCCACATTGTTTTCAGAAGTGTTTTTAACCAGGTTTCTAGTAACCAGTTGTTATTTAAGCTAAGTTATATTGAGACTGAAGGCAATTTATGAATATGAATAAAGGCCACAAATGAATTCAGAGTTGCATAGTTGAGAAACTGTGTTCGAGGGAGTGCCTCTGGATACAGTTTGCACCTGATATACACTCATTTAGACGACACTCTGAAAGAGTTAGTAAGCGCGGAATAAATTACTTATCAGCTGACTATCGGATTTTCCATAGAATCATCAACGAGTGAAATCCATTGTCTCAAAACGTTATTGAATCTCCAACTGTCAACGCTCTCAAAATAAAATTTGATCAACTGAGAGATCGACATTACAGGGACAAGCACAGCTCATCCGGCCTCCTTTCCTTTCCAAACTGAAAATGATAATGAGATATCGTTGCACTAAATGTAAAATGGAGGGATTTTCACAATTTCAAATAAAACACAAAATGGATCTTACAAACATTACTAGGGACAGATCAACTTTCTCGACTGCGTCTACAAAAATTCAGGTTGACTAATGAATGTTACGATAGACCTTTACTCATAACGATATTTTAGAACAAAAATGGACGTGATTGCAATCGAGAAAACTTCAAAGTACTAAATCGAGGTGACAAGAAGAGACCCAGATAATTTTAATAAACCTAGGACATTAATTAAGCTTCATTCGTTGAAAAAGAGAATTAAGAATTTGATGGCCGAAGACCAGGTCAGGGCAAAGAGCGATCAGAGTTCATACAAAGATATGGGCTGGAAATTTACTATTAATAACTAAAATTAAAAGCAAATGGAACGTAAGAATTAACTAATTGACAAGTAAAACCTATTCTTCAACAGTGCAAGTGGAGAATACAAACTGAACAAAGGCATTGTAATATACAAAACGTTAAACAAGCAAGGGAATATATGGTATTCCTGTGTGACTACAAAAATGATCAAGTTTATGTATTACAATTTTGCGTATCTCGAACAACGATTCCGATAATTATTTCTACTGTTTATAGCTCATATAAGAATCAGTTTTCACAAAGTTTAGTGATTGAGATTAGGCTTTCTGCTCTAGAGTTCCGTTTCTCGCATAGTCTTGGATGACTGAAGTTAACTATCAATATATAGTATTAACACTTTGTGCAGTAACATTCACAGTTAGACTGAATTGTAATAGTTACATGAATAAGAATAGATCACTTGACATTCTACCTTTATCTGTGAGTATAAACAATCTAGGGTATTTGTTTAAGTTTCTCAGACCACAAGTTAGCGCGTCTCTGAATGTTATGTCTGGAGTGAGGTTAGACAATACGGATATTTTTGAACGTGTTGGGGCCGAGTCATATGGACGACCTGGTGAAGAAACTGGTGCGATAGACACTAAAGAAAATGCTCCACATTATACCATTCAAGGGGTATTACATTTTTTACAAACTGAGTGGAATCGTCTGGAGATGCAACGCTCCCAATGGGAAGTCGAGCGAGCTGAATTGCAAGTAAATACGGCCGATGATCTAATTGTTTATATTATTTTTTATTGGGCCCGGTTATCGAATGTTTTAAGTTCTGGTAGTTAAGTATTGGCCGTTTATAGCTAATGTCACTTAATGTTTTTTTATCAAAGTGAAAGCACCAAGTATTCGTTGTATAAATATCACAGTAGTGAACGTAATGTCAGTTTTTATGTAGACTGTATGAAATAGAAAAGGGCTCTGCAAATCCGTAAAAGTTCGTATTTCGTACCCTTCTGATTTATTAATACCATTTCAATATATTAAGAGCTCTGTCATATTTCTATTTGTCTGGGAGTGACTTTACTTTTATGTAGTTTTAAGCTAATCCATTAATCATTTCATTTTCCAACGTATCTAACACTTGGAGTTCGTCCCAGTTCTGACTCGGTCGATTTGGAACCTGGTTGCAGGGGTAGACAATATTTGTGCTTGAGATGTGCTTACGTGACCAGTCTTGTACTGTTAAACTTATAAAATCTCTAGAGTTTTCCTGCTTTCTCTTTGTTCGCGGAATGTTAACGTGCTTAAGAATAGTAATGCGGCACTGTTTTACAGTTATGTCTAAAGAGCTATGGGAAATCGGTGAAACTCTATCTCATGGACGACCTTTGAACGAATTTTTAAGTGACCTTGAAATTATTAGCCGATCACAATCGTCAGTATAAAGTAAAAATATTATAAAAAACTTATGAATTACAGTGGATATTCTTCTTTTACATGATTTAAAAACTTATTCATGTTAGATAAAGGTTCAGATGTCCTGAAACCATAGTGCATAGGGTTAGGGTGCACAAACCCAAGCCTATGAAGACATCTATTACTTTCCAATCATCGGTATATATCGTACTGCCAGGCTGCACGTACTTTTACATCTGCAAAAGCCGCTGCCAATGTTACTGGTGACTTTATAATCCAATTTGCAACAATTATCATGAGTTGCCTTAGTCTGAGTCGTGATCGAGCGAAGAATGTGCCAGTTCGAGATGTTTTCCTCCAACAGATAGAACAACGAAACACAATCTCATCACGGTAGTCTGCACATCGTACTGCAGTCATTTGATTGCCGCAGTCACAGATTCGGGAACTTCTTAATAGTCACATCTGTTGTAGTCGCTCAGCAATCACCTCTTCTCTAAAATCTGCTGTAAAACGATCGAATATGAGCATCTCGCATTGAACTTAGTGCCGTGACCTTGAGATCCCTCAAACGCTTCTGGTTGGCTTGTTCATAAATTAGAGTCCTATCGGGAAATCTAGTTTGGTGCTGTTCTAGTGTTCTTTCTTTGGCTATCATTTACTTCTTAAATATGATTTAGTCCTGATATATCTTTTCGTGTTTGTATGCTCCTCCACGTGGGACCTTTTGATAACACGAAGGAATTCGTTCTCTAACATTCTTTAGATCCTTGTCATAGTATCAGTTGGTGACTTGTATCCCGAGATTTTATTCAGTCCTTTTGAAGTGTTTTCTTACTACCAATCTACCCTTCATTCCTTCATATCACATATTATTACTTTCCTCTTGTGTTAATGATAGCTGTGATGGTTTAAGCACACACTTTCGTCATTTTTGACTGATTGATATTTCAAGAATTTCGTGTTTCTTAGCATCAGTTCAATCTTCACTTTATCTGTAGGCACGAATAGCATTCCTTCAAGGGGAGCGTCGTGGTCAGGAAAATCTAAAGCAGGACTTAGTTCGACGAATTAAAATGTTAGAGTATGGTTTGAAACAGGAGCGTGTCAAATTTCATCTATACAAAGCTTCAGTTTCTGCTGGCAACCCACTTACTTCCCTCAAACAAACTGATCAAGAATCTAGTACCAGAAGTGAATCAACCACCGCAAAGCCTTTGCTGAAACCAGCTGAAAAACTAGCTGAGTGTACTGAGCAGACTCTCGAAAGTAATGTGAAGTGGCGAGAGAGTCGATTACGTCTCAAACAGTAAGTCTTCTAATATTTAAAATCAATGTTTTCTTACCCAATGCAATATCGTTTCCGAGCTATTTATTACAGTAGTATAATAATGTTCATTAAATGCCTTCAACTTTTTTCATTATTTTTGACAATGCCACACGATTGTCAAAACAATACAACTCATCTACAGTTCCCAAATATACCAGTTTTGCGTAAGTACACTGTAGATATGAGGGCTAGTGATACTAGCCAATTGCTACTCCACTCTACAGTTTTCAGTTCCTACGCATCATAATTTAACTAGTACATTTTTCATCCATAGTCCAGCTAGAGTAAAGTAAAGATTTATGAATAGACAAACGTTTTTCTCATATCACGTACGGCTGAAGTTGGGGCGAGCCAGCTCACCCTCACGAAATGCTCACATGGTCACGCATAGGCAGCTACTGTCAGTCAGTCAGTTAGCCAGGTACATATATACATCGGTCCAAGTTGCCATACCTCATTAACACAACAAGATGAACGCCGAATCCATGGAAGCAGTTACTTCAACGGTAGTATTATATGTAAAAGAGTGTATATCAGCATCTGATACAAGGGGAAAGAATTACTTCGAAGAAAGAAAGGTATAAAGTGATTTTAATTTCACAGTTTAAAGGAAGATAACGAGTGTATACACCTACACCATTGTGATCGATTCTGAGTCATGTCACACAGTCTCCAACCATTAGTTAGGATAGTCACGCAGACCTCAACTAATTAGTCTGCATCTAACAACGTGGCTCAGAGTGTATATTTATTGTCTCTTTGTATCGTTTTTGAATTATTATTATTATTATTATTATTATTATTATTATTATTATTTTAACACATAGATATTGGTACAAGTAGGCACCAAATACATATGCGCCACACAAATCTTATTTCATATGTGTGAGGGCTGTGATACTGTCCGGGTGCCCAGACCGAAACAGGTGGTTTTCTTAGAGGGCCACACCCCGAGCCTTCGACCTGAAGGTCTGATCCACAAGGCAGTGGAGCATCGTAAGGAGATGCAATCCCATGGAAGCCGGTGACCAACAATTGGTTCATACGCCATTTGTTCCCTCAGGATACTGGAGCCCATGTGCACCATCAGTTTTTGAATAAAATCAATGATGTTTATAAGTAGACTTTCTCATCATGTCGACGTATTTTATGGTCGATAATCTTTGAGAAATATATTGTTTATGTTCACACTGGCTTACGAGTAGTTTATGTTCACTTCCAAAATACCTAGGTTTCTTCAGGAAGTTGGTTATGCAGATGCTGTCCTTAGTGTACGCGAAGCACGTGTACGCCATTTATTGTTGTCAGCTGCAGGGTGGCCTAATGAACCTGACTCTTCTCTCACGACTGCAGATCCGAAGAATAAACATTATCTTTGGGAATGTGATAAGCCCAAGTCGAAACTCAATGATAATGCTGGGTGAGTGATCGATTTTATGGTTATAGTAATCAGGATTTTTAGTGATTTTTCTGTCGATTTAAGAAATATTAAAAAATCCCGGATAATGCTTTGGATCGCTGTAATACTTGTACTACTTAAACAACCAGTGAACTAGTACACTTAAAACTTTCTTTTATCATATGTTTGTTTTCTGCACGTTTAACGTTATTACTTATATCAAATTGATCATGCCTGTAAACTGGCGTGAATTCTGTAATTATTATTTTTTTTCAGAATATAAATTTATTATTATTATTATTATTATTATTATTATTATTATTATTATTATTATTATTATTATTATTATTATTAGGTATGTCATAACCAGCACCTGTTAAATGGTCTAGTACCGACAACTTGAAATAAGTATCCACTGTAAACAAATATTTTATTGCAACTTATTATCTTACGAGATAGTAAAGTTTTTAAAATTAATCCATGTTCTGTTTGAGTCATTGGCAATGTCCAAACACTGGAGTGTATAGGTATTCAGTGGATGAGTTTACCGTAGGTGACTGCCAAACAACCATTAGGGTTATAATTGCTTGGCAAAACAGTTTGATGATGCGAAACCTAAAAGTGTAGTTGTTTGATTTTTCAATCGTCATGTGCTGTAATATGAACTGGTAAATAAATGTCACGTGATTTAGGAAATCATTTGTCTGTCAGTCAACGTGGGATCTAGCATTAGTGTGCATTGTTCCAAGCTGCTGCGCATCATATCAATTCAGCAACAACAAATCTATTCATAGAACAACAGACAATGTGAAATCATATCGAGTTGTGTGGGAATCCAAACATTTGAAGAAACACTTCATAGGTGAAGTGAGGTGACGGAATGATCAAACCTACAACCCATTAGTTTTAAATTGGGTTTTTGAAACTTGACATTTATTATTCAGTTGATGAGATTTACTAACGTTCATGGAGTAAAGAAGTTCTTAATGTTTGTTCGCTTTCATTGTACATTTTACTACCACAGTTATGATGCCAGCCTTCAAGATGAACTTGCGGAAGATGCTATAGCAAAAATAAATCAGGTTGTGCGATCAGGCTCAGATTTTCTCACGTCTGATGATTTGGGTTCTGGATTTGGTAGTGAGTTAAATGACCAATCTACCGAACCGGATACAACAGGGAATTCGGGTACTGACAATTCTGAATCATTTGATAACGCAAGTTGGGTGAACAGATTTCGTCGAACAAGTGATGCGAATAAACGCAAATCGCAGGGTCAAACAAATTACTCGCAACGAAATGAGGTAAGTATTTGGCGTTTTGTCATAAACGTGTTATTACTAAAAAAGTGGTTTTTAGCCATTTAAATGTATTTCGGTCAGTCGAAATATGTAAATAAGCAGTTAATCAGTCAGTTACATAGTGCCTAAAATAAGTATTTGTTAGCCCAAGTTCCCGCACCACATCAGCGCGACGAGATGAAATTAACAAGAGAAATAAGAAAAAGGTCAAAATGGTAGTATCAGTCGTAGTGAGGAAGATTAAATATGAGAGAATACGGTCCAGATAGAGGGGATGAGTTTGAAGGAGCAGTACGAATCAATGTTGAAACCCCAACTAGGTAGGTAGTTGGCGTCTACCAACATGTGTCAATTCAACGGTCACGGATTTCAGCCTATTCCAACTCTGGGCAACATTATACATTGAGGTAGTCGGATAAGGATAGGTAACATTTTGTTGGTCTTCACCGAATGGTAAAATGTTCTCGGTATTGTTTGGCTCAAGGTAACCCTCCTGAGAACTAGTCTCTGGGAAGGTTAAACAAAGGGAATGTTTTCTAGAAGACTATCCAGCCCTAACAATCTGCAGTTGAGGTGTAAATAAATTGTAATAACCAAGATATATATTTGCCATATGACGATTCATCGAGGTCTGTTTAAATGACGACCAAGGAAGTAGTCTTTATCTTTTAGTGACCAGTCTAAAATAATCTCCAGGTGTTTGTAATACGTATCCTAGATCTAAAAGTGGTCTTTCTATCCGGATCCCCAGCATTGATAATCCTTATCTGTAGTTCATAGTTTTATGAATGTCGCTTAAAAATACCGTGATTTTAAGCAAACCATGGTTATAAGACATATACTTACAGTCTACTATGTTATAAACACTAACTGGATGGTCAACTGGAGCAATATTGTGGTGTGTATAATTATCAGTTCTGTTTGTATTAAGACTTTAAAAGGATGAAAAATAGAAAAGTATTAATACAATTCATTACCATCATGTATCCCCGATTTTTATTTACATTATTATTTCATCTCTTTCACTAATGTGGCAGTATTCGAAGAATATAAGTTCTAGTACCACAGTATCCTCGTTTCTGAACAGTTTTGGGGAAATTGGAAGTGCAGGACAATCGAAGCGATTCGGTCGTAAACATGCAGCCGATACAAATATTTTGGTGAGATTTTTATTGCTCACATAGTTTTGGATTTTTTTGACATACCTCTTACCATTCTTTACCTGAAGTTTCTCTTAACTTGATTGTTCTGACCATAACTCATTGGTTAATATGCGATTTCATTTTTAACTCGTTCGAGATTATTACTCTGTACAGTTGTTTTCACAACATCAATTCCTTTTGTGTCCAGCAATGTAGCGGACAAGTTTTAATCCTCAAGTATTTGTGTCGTTTAAGATCACTGTATGTTATGTTCTACATGTGTCGTGTGAGTGGTAAGATAAAACTTGACTAGCCACAGTGTTTTAGGTCGTGAACAGCAAACCGACTTCTGCAAATTTACATAATCGTGTGTTTAAAGGTCGTAGAAATAACTTTTCAGTGGACTTTTCCGTCTTGAAACACAAGTCCCGATGACTTGTTTATTTTTTACACAAGCTGTCCTAGGTATCACGTGTTCTTTGCCGATTTTGTGATTGGTCGGAAAAAGTTAAGCGGTTGCTGATTTGTGACGTGACTCCCTGTAGTAAATAATGATTGCACCTAGTTCTAGTCCACGATTGCAATTCAGTGGCTTGAGATATCAAACATTACTTAAAAAAATGTCAGTGTCAACTCTGCTTCAATCTTCCCTAGCATTCACAGTAAACGATAGAACACTAACTGGACGAAATGTTTTATGGTTGTGTTCTTATTAGAACTACATTTTCCTCCTTTTTATGATTTCTCCCCTTGTCCTTCCGTACCATGTTATCGTTTTGTGTGATTAGTTTGTAAGCATCTTATCTTTCCAAATAATGGAGCATTGATTAGTCGTGTATGGAATACTAGCTTGAAGTTCAACAAAACCATTCGTTAATTTTCTGCAAATGACATTCAATATAGCTTCGCGTACTGCTCTGAAGATATTCGTTGTCTACAACATTTTTGCCCGACTTTGAAAATACCACAAAGAAATGATTCACTAAATTTCTCTGTTTGATTCGTTTTTATGTTTCAGTTTATTCTCTATTTCTCCTAGGATTTAATCAACACATTGTCGGAAAAAGTTGATAATAATGATGATTTTTTATCAAACGCTGTATCTGATATTAATTCAACCGCCGCAGTATATCCTAGTAGTGGTCAAACTCCGAACTCCGTCTCACCGAACAATAAATCGAGTTCACCAAATAATGGAACAAATTTATGGGGATCGGACTTATCAGATCCCAATGTTGTAGATTCTACTGGTCAGGTTGGTGTAAAAGGTCGTCTGGAATCTGTGAAAGAATCTAATCCGACAGATCCTCTTGGGCTAGGTGATCTGGCTAGTTTAACTGTAGCTAACGAAGCTGATTCAGGTTTAAGTAAGTGCTATTAATTTCTTTTCGGAATTAAGACTAATTAAGAGCACGAGAATTTATGACCATAATAATAATAATTCGGCCTTAAGTTTATTCGTTAATGATTGTAACCTTTACAAAACTGGTATCCCACAGTCGCTTATATTCTAAATGACTTGTTTATCTTGTTTAATATTTCGTATTTAAATTTAACGTTCAAATAAGAGAAAATAAGTTTTTGTTGACTTATTCTGTATCTTAATACCCGTTCACCTGAGATTTCGTAAATAATGTTCATATGACATAAGTTTGAACAATCTGTCCTCTTTCATAACGGTGTATAAGAAACATACCTTATAATCTGATGCTATTATGTTTACCTGGTTCAATAAAATTGTTTTTATCTTGAATGTTTATATTTTATTACAGAATAGCTTATCTGCACATACAGCACGTAACCATTCCAGCTGAATAACATGTTTTTCACATTGCAGATGCTTTTCGAGACTTGATACTTTTCTCCCTATCACTATAATTACGGTGTGGTTTGGTTCATCGTTCTTTAGATCGATATTTCTAAAGAAGATACTCTGTGGTCATACAAGTTTCTCTACTTTTTCTATCGGTTCTAACTATAATTTGTTCATTATGAACTAAGTGATTAGTATGATTTAAAGCATTTTCGTAGTCAAAGTACAAAAAATGTTTCTATTCTTGTTTTGTCACTTTTGAACATGATTTCTGATGAATCTCGTAAAAACTGAATTCAGATCTCATCAAACTAAATGGTTTAGATTTGATTGCGTTTTACTCATTCCCGATCACTGATTACCACGACACGCAATGCGGACTGGTGTTGAAGACGAATGGAAGAAAGTTAGGGGCGGCCAAACCAAAACATGGCATCAGTCCACAAAGTCACTAACTTCTGGTCTGAGCCATGTTGTTAGATGCAGACTAATTGGTTGAGGTCTGCGTGACTATCCTAACCAATGGTTGGAGACTCTGTGTGACATGACTCAGAATCGATCACAATGGTGTGGTGTATACACTCGTTATCTTCCTTTAAACTGTGAAATTAAAATCACTTTATACCTTTCTTTCTTCGAAGTAATTCTTTCCCCTTGTATCAGATGCTGATATACACTCTTTTACATATAATACTACCGTTGAAGTAACTGCTTCCATGGATTCGGCGTTCATCTTGTTGTGTTAATGAGGTATGGCAACTTGGACCGATGCATATATGTACCTGTTCCTTCATTATAGCTGACTGACTGAACTGCTATTAGTCACTATAAATTAATGATGTTTCAATCAAATTTCTGCGGTTTGCATTTGATTCCTGTGTAACTTGGTTTTTAGATTGTGGGTTTAATAAATTCAACTTATTTGACTGTCACTGTAAATTTTATGAAAAAGTAGAAAGTTGTCATTGCTTAAATTAGTTGCTTCTTGATAATAACAATAATCATACCCATTAGCCACAGTAATTTACTGGGATTTTATGTGATTTTTGAATTTCAATTCAAAAAGTCGCTTTAGATGTTAGAATAAACTGATAGGAGAATACGCTTTATTTTTATTAACATCACTATTAGCTTCATTATTACGGTACGGCTACTCTTATTGCTTAGTATTCGTGAATACTGCTTCACTCGACGCGTCCCAAATCAGGACATGGTTGAACAAGAACGTAATTATGTTCCAAATAAACAGGATTGAATGGTAGTAGGTAGGTATCATAATAAGGAAAGCGTTCGTATGTTTGCAATTTGTAGAGTCTTCTCTATGTATCCGTTATCTCTGATCGGTTACGAAATATTCAGTCAACATGCCCCCACACAATTCTTCATAGAACATGTTTTAATCCAATCTATATTCCGCTGACACATGTTTTTAACTCTTACTTCATTTAAGATTCTTTCTGTTTTCAGTGTTAATTCGCTCATATAAGGTAATTTTTGACATAATCTTTTTCTCAGATGGTGATGTTTGTGACTCAAATTTACCTGGAAGCAATTATGAATCATCAGTGTTAGGTGGCTCTGTCAGTAGTAATGCTCAAGTAGACAGTGCGGCAAATATTTCATCAACTTACTCAACTGGTCGTCGACCGTGGGCCCCGAGATATACACTTCGCGGTCACTTCGATGGTATCAGAAGCGTTGCATTTCATCCCACCGAACGAGCTGTTTATACTGCTGGTGAAGATGGATGTGTAATGCTTTGGAATTTGTTAAAAACTGGGCCTCCGGGATCGGTATGTTTTTTCTCTCTTGTAATAATTAGTATAATTATATGTATGTGCTTATCGCCTCTTTTTCAGCCCCATCAATATTGGGTCAGGTTTTGTATGCTAGAGTTAACTGTACTGTGTCTTGTCGATTACAATTAATTCCAAATTTGTTTTTTTATCTTAAGAATCTTTTTAAGATTGTGATAAAGTATGTTGAATTCACTAATTTGTGACGTAATTCTTCATTACCTATATATCTAGTTTACCACATCGCATTCTTTACTCGATTTTAAGTGTTGCAGTTCTTATAACTATGCCCCCAAAAATGTATAGAGTATCTAGAAAACCAACTCACCTTTGTGTACAGTTCACATTCAACCTACAGCATGATATTGGTTTCCATTAACCCGGTTTACTAAGTCAGTACATAGAGATGAAGTTAATTAGATGATCAATCAGGATTGCTCGTTGATGTAGATTGTACTCAGCGATACGTGACATGTTCCTTCCACCTCGACATACAAAGATTCGTAATCATCAACCCGTTTACCATCTTTGGCATAACAACCGATGTAATCGGCTGTTCCATGTTACGTGTTCAATGCTCCGAAGGTACGTTTGATCGAAATCCTACAGCCTACATTTATGTTTTGTCTTCATAGACCATGTTTCACATTCATGAAGCAGTACAGATTAGACTGCTGCACAGTATACTTTCCCCTTACTTTGCAGACGGTCATTTCGTCCACGCCACAGTTGATACAAGTTTAGAAAAGCCAAGGGAGCTTTCTGAACCGGTGTCGCGACTTTATTAGACACCGATCCATCATGGTCTCACTATCACTTTTACGGATTAATACAGATCAATACTGAAGAAACATTTTCTATTTAGAGGGATGGAAACATAACTGAAAAATACTTCGATTGTTACTCAAGGTTCTCAGATAACTAAGTTTTATGGGCGACCTTAACAGCAGGACTATTGTATTTTCGAACTCCAAGTTGACTAATAAATCCCCATGTTGGAGATCAATCCTTGCAAGTTTGATGAACAAAATGTTATCTGTAGAGAGTTATGTCTAGCAAAATCAAAAACTGAGTGAAAGAACTTAATGAATACTACTAGGGATTTATAATTCTAGTGGCATTCTACCACAAGCTATATCTTAACCAGTGGTACTTTTCAGTACGTCTTTTAATCAATGGGAAACAACATGATTTATTGTATACGCAAATGCATATTTCAAGGTTTCCCATCCACTGCAAATGACCTAATTTTAGATTAGTAATATTGTAGTGAACAAGAACACGAGTGGGGACAATCGGATGTATTTAGCACAACAATTACAGACTATCTCAATAAAATCTGAATACCATATAGTAAATAGTCAATTTGCAAAATATTCATTCATCAAATCAAACTAGACTGTTTCTGTTGCAAACACCAATCCATTGTCTCCCATTCCATTGTTCATGCGTTTTCTTACAAATTCCATTTGTGTTTTCGCTCTTCGTTTCTTGATCTTTCCCTCATCTTCTACTGCCAGACATTTAACTCGCGTCATATACTACTCATATCAATATAAGTAGCTCACACCACAATATTAGTAAGCCGTTTGCAGTGAAGTAGAAGCCTTGAAATATAATTCATTCGTGTTATTCTGCAAATCTTGTTCTCGCTTTATTTATTAAGGGACCAGGATGTATAAAACGTCTTTTAATGAAACTCAAAACCTCGGTTAGTTGAGTCAAATGATATTTTAAAGCCCAAAGTTACAACTATTATGTATAAGCATCCAAGCCGTACTTATAACATACATCATTTACAACTGTATTTTATAATAAACAAAATACTTAGTATTGTTTTGAGTACTTACAGTGAATACCTGATATTTGTTTATCCAAAAAAGCTTTGTAAAGCCCACAGTTTATATTACACAGGATTTTGGATGTGATCGGATAGTCAGAGGTTCAACTTTGGTTATAATTATTTCCGTGCTGCGTTAAACTGTATATCCCTTCCGTAGGGTTTACTATAAAATTAGTCATCAATAATTAACTCTTCACCTGTAGTTCTAAGTTTAAAAATATTATATCAATGCTACTTGATCATTACTTTAAAAAGGCTTGTCATCGATTTGGGTTGTATTCATCTATTTTATAGGCTATTACCTCAGGAAGAGCAGGTCTCAATTCAGGTCCAGTGGACGAATTGTCACCTGTACATGTTTACTGTGGCCATAAAGGCCCTGTTTTATGTGTCACTACGCCAAGCCCTCTGCTTTCTTCAACTATGAGTACTGCTGTGTATTCTGGTGGTCTTGATGGAACAGTTCGATCATGGCGTTTACCATCTGCCTCTAATGGCCTAGGTCTGATTGACATATATGCACCTCAAGAACTAGAAACCGTGACTGGTCCAGTTTTCGCAAGTGAGTTATTCATTAGTAAAGATGTATCTCTTGTAAAAGATAATTTATAGATTTATGTACCACTTAAGTTATTTGGAGAAACAATAGGTTATCTGTACAAGTTACTCAAATTTGGTGACAATCAAAATTACCATAAAATACACCGCACGTACTCTGGATAAATAAATAGTTCATTAAATAACATGAAATAAGTTATAGAAATATTGGATCAGTATCCGTCAATACATGCTGAATTCGTTCGGGTAAGTAATGGCGATGTGGATCTGTTGCCTGGAGAAAGACTTCTCGACCTTGAGTATGCGGATGATATTGTTTTACTGTGCGATAATGCCCAAGGCATGCAATCTGCACTTAATCAGTTGGCAATCAGTGTCCGTAAGTATGGCATGTGCTTTGCACCTTCGAAGTGCAAAGTAATTCTACAAGACTGGCAGGATTCTAATGCTGTTCTCACCCTGGATGGTGAGCAGATAGAAGCAGTCAAAAGGTTGATGTATGTGGGTAGCTGTACGGCTGTTGGTGATGGTGTGAGTGATGAGATCAATGTACGTATAGTGAGAGCCAGAGCGGCTTATGCCAATCTGGGCCACCTTGGGTACCTTCATGATGTTAGTCTGGCTGTAAAAGGTCGGATCTACAACGCGTCGGTGAGAGCAGTTTTGCTCTATGTTTGTGAAACTTGGCCTCTTCGAGTTGAGGATGTTAGACGACTATTTGTATTCGATCATCGTTGTCTCCGAAGGATTGCTGACATCCAATGGCAACATCATGTTATTATTGCAGAGTTTCTGCATCGTGTGTTCGGGCACAGAGACGATAATCCAATTAGTGTCACTTTCTTGAAACACCGACTTCGGTGGCTTGGACATGTTCCACGAGTGTCGTCCCAGAGAATTCCACATCGTGCATTATTTGCCGATGCTGGGGCTGGTTGGAAGAAGCGGAGAGTTGGTCATTGTATGACATGGTGTCGTGGTTTGGAAGAAAGCTACAAAGGGATGACTTCTGTTGGTCTTGCACGACTCCCTGGCTGTGGTCCGAGAGATGGTGCAACACAGTGGCTAAAGGCGCTATCACATATGGCTTAGAATATAAGCCAGTAGTAATCCTGCTGTAACCTTATTTTAATTTCTTCATAAAAAGTGGTTGTATCTTCCTTAACTGAAAAATACTTCTGATTGTACCTTTACGTTTCCCTCATTACTAGTCTTATTATTATTACACTACCTTACACTAATCTGTGGTCGCTATTGTTTTTTTTCTTTTTTCTTCCTTACACGCACCTTTTTTCTCCCTATTCTCATTGTTTTGTGTGGCGCATATATATTTGGTGTCCCCTTGTACCAATATTTATGTGTTCAAATAAAATAAAATAAAAACACTTAAACTATGGTACAAGTAGGCACCACATAGATATAAATCATTCTATTTGTATGAGTGCTGGGATATTGTCCAGACACCCAACACGAAACAAGTGGCTTTCTTAGGGGGTCACACACCGAGTATTTGACTTAAAGGTCTAATCTACAAGGCAATGGAGCAACGTCAGGAGATGCAGTAGCATGGTTCATACTCCATTTGTTCCCTCAGGATCCTGGAGCCCATGTGCACCATTGGTTTGGAATTAGGGTTTTCCAACTTCCCTAGGTGGATCCTCCATATTCACCAACCCGGTTAAAGCGTTGGAGATTCGCTTTTCTTCCTCTCGATTTCCTAAACAACAGTAATGGCGCGAGACAGCAGTGAGTAGGACTTCCTTGGCGGTGGTTGTATGCACGTGGCCATGTGAGAGCATTTGGAGAGGGAGAGCTGATTCTCCCTACTCTCGGCCGTACCAGGGCATTTAGGGGGAAAGCATGGCGACTGGCTTTTGCAGTGTGGAAGAAGAATTTCGTTATTCATTTTGGAAAATTTACTGTGATATTTATCAAATTTTTATTTTTTCCTTTAGATTCATCATCACCTGTTTGGTCAATCGCTGTACACCCATCTAGTCCTCTGTTACTTGCTGCTCATGCAAATGGTTCTATCGATTTTTGGTCTACTGTAGAAAAGCTTGAAAATGATTCACCAATTTCTCCAGTCCTATCAGTTCATATGGATCGCCTAATTAAACCTTTAGGTATGTCATTTTATAGCGTCTAATCAATTGTGTTGTTGTCAGTTCTAAGATAAACTGTGTATACAGTAAATTCAGATGACCGAACAATATAAATGTGTATTTAGGTTTATCTGTTTTTTTACTCTCAAGAAGATAGTGGGTCTGTCTTTACCGTTGAGAAAAATAATTTCCTTAATTTTCGTGAATATTCGTATTGCTCGACTTTAGATTTGAACACGTAACTGCTAATCTTGACGTATGTTCATATTAGTCAAACATAGAATTTCAAACGTTACTATTTCAATTGTATAAATCTAAACTCGGTTTGGGCTCCCGGGCCGTATCCTAACCTTCACACAAATCTAATGATTTAAGTGACACGTGTCTATTTGACGCCTACTTGTACCAATGTTTATGTGTTTAAATAAATAAATAAATCTAAACTGATTATATAAACTAACCACAGCATTATATGATTTACATATTGTCATCAAATTTGTAACCTGATGGAATTCATTGACAAAATACTGTCTTTGCCTTTGACCTACAGGTTGTGTGTGTGTAAAGGTTAGTGTTGTAATTCGATATTTGGGTATTTTGTCAAAAAAATGTATGCTTGGTTACAAAATATTCAAAGCATTCATTTCAATAGTACATCGACCTTGATACTGATAACGATAGTTTTAGTGGAAATACATGTCACAATTTCTCACTTTTGTATTATCAATAAATAATTAAATAAAAATATTTATTACTATTTGAATTAGTCACGTATAAACACGTGTGTATTTATTGATTTTAGGTGCTAATGAACCTCCGTTCGGACGTCCAACTTGTCTTCATTTTTTGGTCAGCCGTCCGGATTCATTAACGGCCTCTCAATGTGTTGTCGGAACTAGCACGGGATGGTTAGCGCTATTAGACGTTCAGACTGGTCAGTTAATCAACCAAATACCACCAGCACCTCCTCTGACCGATCCTAGTCGCGATGAGCAGCCACTGAATATGGGTATGTCAATAAATTGTTTCATTTTAAAATGTACTTAAATTCCCAAATAAGCATATCTCTGAAGGTTGTGTACTATGTGAAATTGACATTTTCTGGATGTATGACTAGAACTTATAAAATCGATGTCATCAAAACTGTATTTACTCTTCCAACAAATTAACTGGTAATATAGGACTGATTCTCGTTCAGATAGTTTTTAATTCAATGGTTCTAACTAGGTGCGAAATCAAGGTACCTATAGCTGTAACCGAATGCTGTACTACTGATAGTATTTGTGATCCATCATAGCTGAATTTCCATCCTGTTTTATTACTACAAGCTGCGATCCTGTTTACTTATGCCATAACGTATTCGATATTGTTAAGTATTTCCGATAGTAGTTCCAAGGAAAATCATTGCATCAGTCCTCCAAATGCATATGTAATGATGTTGTTCTTATTTACTTATCACATTGGTCTAGCAATTTTTAATGCAATTAATTACTCTTTGCGTTTAGTAGGCAATTCAAATAAGTTTTTTGTAAGATATCCTCCCTATACATGATAATTAGTACTCGTCATGATTGGGTTATGTATTCATACATGTATTTCACATCGAACAATCCATTAGTTATGTAAAGTAAATACACGCTTAAATGTTTTATCATTAACGATCTTATCTAATTATTGTCATTTTTAATAACACTTATTAGCAAACATACCGGTAGCAGGCGAATGTAGTTTACCTTCTGGTTGGACAGAACGTTCACTTAATGCTCTGGGTTCACATCAAACATTATCTCTCGTTATTGGAGCCCATGAGGATCGTTGTATTCGGTTCTATGATATCAACCGCATGTCCGACCGTTCGTCAGTTACGAATTCGGCATGTGTAGACGCTATGGTTACACATTTGAATGCTGTTACAAGCCTTGCAGTCGATCCTCACGGTCTGTATTTATTGACTGGAAGTAAGTTCATACATTAATTTTTGTAAACTTTATCTTTTCATTACGGTAAAACACCTAGCATTCTGCCTATTGATGATTGATTGTGTGTTTTTATGAATAAAACGCTCATTTTAAAGTAGGGTATATATTTTGACTCTATCAGTTAGACAGTTTAACTTCTATTGGAGGGATTTAGTAACCAAGTCATTAATGAAACAGCCCAATGTATTCACCATTCGTATCCACAAACATGTATTTGATAACTGGCAGCCTACTTGAATATTTGGGTTTCTTGTTCCTGCCATCTAAATATTTCAACAAGAACATCTCTGAAAAGTTTACGACCTTTCACTGTACAAGTTACAAAAAGTACAATCAGCGGCATCGTCGTGGCTATCAATATGCATTGAAAAGCATGAGCATTATTCACATGTCGATTCCTGAACTGCTAACATCTAAGTGGCGATCATTCAATATTTATCGTGAGGATCGATTAAGAGATAATAATTAGTTTGCAACGCTAAATTTTTCAGTCGTAATGTTAATGTGGTTGTTCCTATAGTCCGATTCGTACACCATATTCATCTCTATTCAATTGTTATTATCACACTGATTTTATTCTTTGTATTCTACCTTAGGTCATGATGCCTCTATTCGTGTTTGGGATGTTGAAAGTCGTACATGCATACAAGAAATGACTAATCATGGATTCAAATACAATGAATCAGTTCATTCAGTAGCTTTACATCCACAACTTCCTTTAGCAGCTAGTGCTGGAGCAGATGCCATATGCAAAATTTATGTAACAGCTACATAAATAATTGATTAATTTCGATTATATTCTCTTCATAAACATTCAACCATTTGTAATTTTCGTTTTTTCTCTTTTCTCCAGTGTTAAACTGCATAACTTTTTTGTTTTCGTATTATGACATTAATGTTCGGTTGATATTCTTTTTTCCCATCTACTGTTTATGTATGTATGTATGTCTTCTCATTCCGTTTTATTGTTTGTTAAATGTAGAAAAGTATATTTATACATAATTTTGATCTGCATGCCTACTTTAACATTTTCCTACTCTTTAAAGACTTGATAGTATTGCTGACAATTTCAATTTATTAGTAGTAATTGATGTGTTTTTTCTTCATTCGATCCATTTTATTTTGTTTCTGGCATTTTATCGGTTCTCTTCTAATTTGCTTACATAAATTAGTTAGATTTACTTTTATTTATGCATTGTTATATTCGTTTTTACATAGATACACTTGTCTTTATTATCTAAGCTATAGACTTGTAGTTTGAATCCTAATATGTTTCATATGTTGATTAATATTAAGGTGACAACGTACTACATACTCTATTCATTATCATCGTTAAACTCGGTTGCTTTTATTTTCATTTATATATATATATATATATATATATATATATATATATATATATATATATATATATATATATATATATGATCTCTTTCTGAATGAATAACTATTTCATGCTCATTATTTCAATGATTGTTGATCAATAAAAAGCATGGATTGTTCAAAATAACTGAACAGATTGTGCTATTTCGCTCCCTACTCACGTTTATGTGTTTCATTGTGTTTCCTTTTTCTCTTGCACATTTATACGTAGCTCTCTACTTGTGCAGGTTATTCTACTTATTAATGATAATAGAATTAGTGAAATTTCGATAATATTGGAGCAATTTTCTATCATGTGACTTCTGATTTCGGTTTTTTGGATACATTTTATTTTTGTTAGTAAGGTTGTGATGAATGGCATCCGAGATCTGATACTGATACTCAGTGCGCTACTCGCTAACTTCTAAAACTGACTACTTGAGCAAAATGACAAGAGTGGAGAAGTAAGTCTATTGAACTACCGAATAATATGCATAAATACTCATACGTATTTCCACTTAGGAAATCAATCCATTTCTTGGCCAATGATATGCGTTTGTCCTTCGGGTCACTTCTGATTGTCATCAAGTAATTCTCATTTAGCTACTTCGGATTGACTCATTGTATCACCTTTCCCATCCGTTATGATCTCTTTTATTACGGTACAGCTCTCCCTATTGCTTAGTACTTGGGAACACTACTTCACTCGACACGTCTACGAATCAGAACACGGATACACAGGAACGTACTTCTATTCCAAATAAACAAGGTTGATTGATAGTAGGTAAGTGTCATAATTAGGTAAACATTACTATGTAAATTTCGTGTCAGAAGATTGTAGAATCTTCTCTATGTATCCGTTATCTCGGATCGGTTAAAAAATTCAGTCAACGTGCCCCAATACAATTCTTCACAGAACATGTTTTAATGCAATCTATTACAATTGATTGATCACTGGGTGGTGATCAATGTCTTGCTTGTCTAGTCCTTATTAGTGCAGATCGAATGCTATCGATCATGTTGCAATGTGGTCACCAGTCTAGGTGACTCGACACTGCGGGCACTATGTATTGAGATTTAGATGGTGGTTGGAGTTAGTCAACAGGAAACCCTGGACCCGGGTTTCGTGCTACTTGGCACTCGTCAGCAAGGTGTATCTGTAATCTTGAGGGAACTGGTGCTCCCTGGCGGATTCGATCTCGTGTCTCCCAGCTTCACAGTCAGAGACGTTACCACTGAGCTATCCGAGCCGTGACTAACCTCCTGTAGGACTGAGATGTAATTACAATTGATTGATCACTGGGTGGTGATCAATGTCTTGCTTGTCTAGTCCTTATTAGTGCAGATCGAATGCTATCGATCATGTTGCAATGTAGCCACCAGTCTAGGTGACTCGACACTGCGGGCACTATGTATTGAGATTTAGATGGTGGTTGGAGTTAGTCAACAGGAAACCCTGGACCCAGGGTGACAAGGAAAACACGTACGAACGGCCTTGAGTCTCGATTGGCCCGCTTCCCTGTCTAGCCCAGCCAGTTGAGTCCAGAACACAAATCTCAGCTTCTGAGATATGAATCGTTATATTTCAAACACACTCTGTTTCCACAACAATCAAGCAGACCACATCGTACCATAAAATAGAAAACAACATTCGTACAATATTTAACAAGTGAAATAAATATCGACCAATAGGAAATGTCCATTTAAAGTCGAAGGACACTATTAGACTTAACATGATAATTATTGGTATACTCCTGCATCCGTAACAGATCGGTATTCATTAATATCATGGGCTTGCAATGTCTCATTTCATGATTACTCTGGTTTTAGTACTTCGCCATCTCTTGATCTTTGGACATACTTAAAGTACTGCAGAGTTATATACATCGTGGTTCCTAATACATTGTTTCCTGTAAAATCTTCCTCTACAGTCTTTATAGTATCAAACTGATTTAGAACGATGTATGTCTGTTTGATAAATCGGCTAGCCAGTAAGGCGATGCATGAAATCTAATTGACTTGTCATATATTTTATTTTTCTTTACTTCAAATGACGTGTAGGTGTATAGGTGACATTAGAATTTGTTGAGTATCTAAGACTTTTGGAATAGTAGGATTTTACAAAATAAAACGGAACCTAATAAGGGATATGTATACGAATAAATTTAATCCAGTATTTTTATTAGAAGACAAGGATGTGAATAATCAATTATGTATCATTGATAACGTAATGATGAAGTTTAGTTACTTTGTATATTTATACTGGGACAAGTGGTGCAACATGTGTTAAAATGTTTTCAATCTCTTACCGTTTTCTTCGCAGTGAGAAATGCCATTCTACCTTGTTCTTACTTCTTCACTTCTGTCTATGAGGATGTCGTTTGGGTATTAGGCTTATTTTGAATTAGTGTTACTGGTAGACAAGCATGCTCTTCCATCAGTAAATATATCGTACAACTGATCTTAGAACAGTTTATAAATTTCCATGTAGAAATTAACAGGAATATTTTCGGAGGCCAATTTAATTCTTAGTCACTCATTATATACATTAACCTATTTCGAAGCAAATTTTTCTAATTTCAAACTTGCCTTAGGGATCATAATCCACTTTTATGATAATGTGGAAACTTATTGTCTTTTACATGTTTGCGGTAAACACTTCGTTTATTTGACTTATTCTCATTCATATGTAGGATGTTTTGATGAGTAAACGAGTGATCATACTGTTCAAATTGTAATGCACATGTAAATAATATAGTGAGCTCATTCCGTTGCTGTATTAGACGACAATTTATTTGAAAGAGAAATTTTAAACCTGATCAGGCGGTTTATCATTTGTTTTATTATGATCATGAAGCTGTATCTCAATACAGTGTGTTATGATAATAGATTGGAGATAGTTTTATCGGTTGCATTACAGACTAAATTTAGTCAGATAACTATTGAAAAATAAGAAGCAATGGATCGATGTTTTGTCCTTGTACTAATATTCTCAATGTTGGTCATCCATAACCTGGCGGCAATCGAGCTCAGACTCTAGATCTCGCTGTTATCAGTGAAATTTAGACTACTAAAGCAGCAGGCAGTAGTTTACAATCAATTGGTGATATTGCGCAACTATTTTCTAATCTCGATAATGCATTAAGAAGACGAAGGTTATCAGAAGTATGTGATATATTAGCGCAATACATTTCGAACAATCTGACTATACATATACTTGTTATGAACATTTATATATAAAAATAAAAGGTGAACTAGACTGGAAATGGGGTAATAGAAGATAAGGATGATAATAATATGACTAATAATCTGAACACAATTCGAAACCTAATCACTCTGGATAATAAGTCAATATTACCAGGGTAGGTTTAAGGTAAGAACAAACTGTTTTTGAACAAACAAAGGGGGTTTCAGTTTTCGTATGACTAAGGCTTCAATAAACCTTAGTATACACTCTTTTATGCAACACCACAAAGGCCAGGTTTAGATCAATCTTATGACCTGTTTCAATTATATGTTTAGCAATAGAGGATGATGAATTTTTATCCTCTGCTGTTATTGGGTCACTTGATTGTATGTGTTTCTGCAACTATTTTGGTATGTGTTCACACACTAATCACGATTGCTCCTCCCTATGTATGTGTGACCATACACACAAATTGGTAAACACAGTGGGATGTGACACAAACGTTTTCATATCTTTCAGGTTTTGGATGAAGCATGCACCTTGTTCTTTCTTTGATAATGACCTCTGCTGCGCAATACGTTCTATTGATGACTGATTTAAGTCTTTGTTTGAATAAAAGGCTATTCGAATCACCTCTGAATGGTAAGGTGATGTAGACAGACTTTTTTTCCACCAAGGCTACAGTAGGTCTCACTGTAGCATGGACTTTCCATCTATTTATGAATTTCAAAAGATAGCCATTGTCTATTAATGATTTATTTAGCAACTTAACATCATCAATGTCGTCGTTTGTACAAATACGATGAAGCCTGTTGAATAGACACCTTATCAAACTACGTTTGTATTGCACAGGACAATAACTATAATAACTAAGGTATTGATCTGTTCACATTTGTTTTCGAAAAATGGATCACTTGACTGAGCCACCTCGTCGACTCAGAAGTATATTTAGGAATGGGAGCTGATCATTCTTCTACTCTTCACATGAGAGACTGATATGGTTTTGGAGAGTGGTAGATTTATTCAATAAAAAGTACATATCCTCTTTTCTTTCACAAACAACTAAGATATCGTCCACATATCCCTTATAAAGTGACATGTCTTTAAATAATCCATCAGCCAGATTTTCAACATCTGCTAATAATGGTCCTAGCGGACTACCCATAGCAACTCCATCAATCTGACGAAAGTATTCACCTTCAAAAATGAACTGAACTTTGTCAGTACATAGTAATAGTAAATCTTTAAGAATTTTTGTGATTGGAGATTGTGTTTTTTTTCAAAGGTACATTTGTAAACAAGGAATTCACATCAAATGAACATATTGCCTTTTCCTTGATATTAGTATCACCTAAATGATCGACCAGTTCTAAAGAATCCTTTAGAGAATACATACATAGATATCTTCGGATAGGGTCCAACAATTTTGTTAGCCATTTAGCCAGGTTATGTATAGGTGATTTGCACATTGATAAAATTGGACATAAAGGAATGTTTTGTTTGTGAATTTTAGGTAGTCCATATAAATGAGGGTACTCGGAACCCATAGGTTTTAGAAAATTAAATTCCTCTTTATTAATAATATTCATGCGTAGCAATTTCTCTAGGTTTGAATTTACTCTCCCTTCTAGTTTGCCAATACCTCCAAATTCAACATCAGGCATAAATTTACTTTCATCACTTAGGATGGATAACATCTTACTTTATATTGACATTTATTAATGATAACTACGCCTGATCCTTTATCAGGTTTTAAACAAGACAATATCAGGGTTTGTTCGTA